TCAAAGTTTCTAGAATTTAAGATAGTTTAATTAAAAAAAGTTTTATAAGTTTTAAAATATAATTATATTTTTAATTTAATTATTTATTAAGTATTTAAGTAATTAAATAATTAAAAATCTATTAAGTACTTTACTTAAATAGCAAAATATCATTTAAAGATAAGGTTATAAATTTTATAAAATATTCTAATTATTAAATAAAAATAGAAAATAATTAGTAATTGAAATAATTAAAAATATAATTAATATTTTAATATAATTTTATTTTTTAAATAAAGAGGGTATTTTTCTGAAAATTTTGATATAAAATATGTAACTTTTGGATTTAAATTAGATTTTTTTTATTTAAATAAGTTAAAATGGCTTTAAAACTATTTAAAATAAATAAAAACAAAGAAAATGCCTCGGAATACGCTTTGTCGACTCGGGAGTGGCTCCGTGGACCGCGGGCAATCATTGCCTGGCAGCGCAATGATTGCACCGCCGGTAATGATTTCCTCATGATTGCGGCACTCAAACACCACGAACACTGCATGACTTATCCACGTCAGTGATCCCGTAGTCGTTGGATCGTCCGCATTTTTGAACTGATGGTTTTGATCTCGTCAGACTGAAAACTAACCCATGAGATCAAATCCCGCGTTTGATCTGAATTGCGAGAAGGCGGGATCGCGACCGTTGATCGTGAGATCAATGGTCCGGATCGCTTCCTAGCAGGCGAAGTTGTATCTCGAAACCCTAATGCATTTTTTTTAGTTTTCTCTCGATCAGGTGGATCAAATCGCACGAAATTTGAAACATATGCTTTACTCATTAAGAGAATTCATGGGGGATACATGGTTTGTCATAAAATGCGCTTTTTGAAATGCTAATTAGATCTAACTGATTGACCTAATCTAAGGGTTTTTTAAGGGATTATACCTTGGCATATTTGGAATTTTTGAATACTCTGAGCTTGTAAATTGTCCACGTATCCCTTCTCCCTAAAATCGTAGTCTAGAAAGCACTTGATCGAGCTATAGGGAGGCTTGGACGAACTAGGCTCAACCTCGTCGAAAACTCTCCGCCAGCGACCCTAATCGCTCGTGTTTGACTTGGGAGAGGTAGAGGAATTTCAGGTGAACTCTCACACGAAATATTTCAGGTTGAGAGTGACTAGGAAGAGAGTAATTGCCAAAAGTCCTTAACTTCAACGCTAAAACATACATTTATAGGCCTAGGGTTGAAATCAACAGCCTAGATCGAATCCCAACCCTATTAGGAGGGAAAAAACATAAGAATAAGTCGTGGTTTGAATCAATAGAGCAATAGGGAAGATTCCAGGCATTAATTAGGCTTAATTTGACCAAAAAGAGATCAAATTGACCATAGAAAGACCATGGTTGTGAATTCATTTTAGTGGGAGTTCTATCATATTTTCTTTCTAGTTTAGTCCAGACTGCAGTGCCCCCTTAGAGTAAAGTCTAAGAGAGACTAGAGGAGAGAAGGATATTATATTTGGGAATTGTTAGCTTAACTTTTTTGTAAGCAATTAGATATTTAGAGGAGAAAGATGAGTGTAAAGTGTATTTGTACTATCTAGGTGACATTTGCAATAACTTTTACTCATGTACTTTCTCTTTTATGCAAGCAATGAAATCTGGTTTGCTTTCTTTACATATTATGTTTAGCTAATTTCTTAATTTTTGGCTAATAATGTGAATCTAATATTAGTACTAATATAGATTATAATTCTTTGAATGAGAAATGAATGTTTTTAATATCACTTGAACTTAATTTAATGTATGTAGTGGTCATATGTGTAGTTAAAAATTAGTGTGATGTATTACCTCGATGGAGAAATATTAGAAAAAATAGTAGTATTAAAATAGAATATTTACATGCTTAGACATAAGATGTTTAGACTTCTAGTGTCACGATATACAATCACTATATGAAAGCTTTAAACCTCCTTTTACATCCCCACAAGCTCAACAGAAATCAAAGATGCATATGCACTGATTCACATCAATAAAATAAGTCTTTTTAGGAAAACATTAGTAATTTTCATTCATCTGTCAAAAATATTTTATTATCGTGTATCTTATCTTTTCTCTAACAATCCTCTATAGTAACAGAATCTCAATCTTTAATTTCAATCCGTAGGATAAACATTGTAGCCATAGTAGGCAGTACTAGCTTACATGTATGTTAGCAAAACACTTCCTCGTGGGATCAACACTCTCTAAATCACTTTAGTACTTAATCAATACCTGCCTTTGCATATTTAGTGGGTATTACAGATCAAAGAAAATCTATGCATAGCATATTTAAACCCAGAGCATAAACTTCATTCATACATTGAACACAATACGTGCTGACTCTCCTACTCACATCAGTGTTCTAGAGTCTATGGAGAAATAATAATTTTAGGAAGGCCATAAACCGTTCTTTACCTCCTTACAAGCTTGATAGAGATATAAGGATATATAAGCTCTGATTCACTACCAATATAAGAAAGTCTATTTAGAAAAAAAATTGGATATTTATTTTCATTAGTCCATAATATTTTATGTATTAGTATCTTGCCTTCTTTTGTATTTTTTAGCTATGAAAGAATCCAAACCTGATTTTCATTTTATAGGATAAATATTGTATCTAGAGTAGACAATATTAGAACAAATTGCATAGATGTATAACACTTCCTCAAGAGATCAACACTCTCTTATATCACATTTATTACTTGATCAATATATGCACTTGTATTATTTTGTGGACATTTATATCAAAGAAAACCTAAGCATATTTCACGTGCCTCTACCTATCCACCATCAATAGTGAACTTATATGTCTTTGATACATTTATGTTATACAATCAAGAAACACGAATGAAATATTGTGATTTGATCATTTGACTTTAGTGAAGATGTTATGTTACCATGACATGTAATATTGTATTATTTGTCTCTTTTTAAAGGCATACATTCCCTAGTTTTAGTAGCAAGTGTGCATGTCACCTAGGGCACTTATACACCATTTACTTGCAACAAATTTGTTCATTTCATTTCAGTAAAAGACATTCACGTGAAATAATTATTGGAGATTTACGAGGACTAACGTGGCAGTCATTAATGTGAATGTGCTATCACGTGGTTGTACACATAATTTAGTATTTTTTATTAAATTATTGTTTGTATTTAGGTACATTAACATTATCATTTTTATTTGTGTTATGCATGTAGGGAATCTAATATAGATGCCTCTAAATAACACATTGGCACAATTTCCACATATGTACCTCCCCCATCTTTAAGTGATTGGATTTTAATTTGGGTGTTGCTTAGGAGTTTCACCAACAAAGGATCTGGCTCACAGATAGCTCTTATGAATCATTATACAACTAGCCTATAGTGGGCGTCATGAATTTCATCATCAAACTAAAAGAAGCAGCCATGGGTTTTGCTTTTCACACCAAACGTGTTGCGACCAAGATTTTTTGGAGTTTAATGGTTGCCGAGTTTTATACCTTTAGGTGCACAGCGAGGGCGCCAATGGAGAGATGACGACGCACGACCTTTTTGTGGAGAGAGAGAGAGTGCAGAGAAAGAGAGAGTGAAGATCATTCTTTTTCTCAAGAAAGAGGGATGAACTAAGAGTACTCTCTCTTTCTAGAGAAAGGTTAATGTGGAGAGGATGTTGTGAGGTAGAGGTGTAGAGGAAGGGATGTTTAGGGAAAGAACATCTCTCTTTCTCTCATATTTTACAGAGAAATAATTTTATATCTCTAATTCTATAGAGAGTAAAAAAGTGAAATTAAGGTTTCGGTGGAGGTGGTGTAGCTGGTTGTAGGAAGAGGTATTTTGAGAGGGGGAGATTGAGTTAGAGGTAGTGGGTGAGGTAGAAATTTTGAGGGTTAGGGTTTGTGGAAAAGGTAGAAGGTGAAGGTGTAGGAAGGGGTTAGAGCATGAGGAGGAGAGAAGAACAAGAGGGAGAGCTATGGCAAGGTAGGCCGGCGACAGAGTCAGATGCAAGTGAAACGATCGGTGATGACAAGTAGACTAGGATTAGGTGTGCACGCAAACAAGAGAGAGACTCGAGAGAGGGAGAGCGTGTGTGAAAGGTGCAACGCCGTATGTGCATGAGTCTCAATTGGGGTGGCTCGGTGTGTTGGAGTGAGGAATGTGAGATATTAAGTTAGTGTTTTTTTTTAAAAAAAAAAATTTAAACATAAAATTACCTTAAAAAAATTTTTAAATTTGTAAAAAATATTTATTGATATTTATCCTTAATCCACGCACACAATATTTTAATTTTCACTGATCAATGACGCTGACGAACATAGACATCGATCTTATTAGTTTCAATCGTCTTGAATGCACCAATAAAATTCATTTCACGAACGATGTCATGTCAGTGACACACAAACAGAGAAAGAGAGAGAACTTTAACAATTAGATAAATTTTATCTTAACAGATCAAATTAATTAGAATCGCACTATTATTTTCCTCGAACCAAGCTCAAATCATAAATGAAAAGTTAAATTTTGATCAACTGAGTTCAAGAAGTCACAATGCTATAAAAACGGTCTATTTGGAATTGAAGTTAAAATCGGATTTGGAGGCAAACTTGAATGCTCAAGAAAGAATCGTTTATATTTGTTACACAACGCTCAGGTAACTGCATTGTGTTATTTCATTTCCTTTGCCTCGATGCTTAGAAATTCAAATCCCTCGTACTAAAACGTTGGGTTAACTGTTCTACATAAACAATATGAGATTTTCTGCACTCACTCTCCTATTTGCTCTCATACTACTTTATAGACAAGCCTAAACTCATACTATTGTGCCATAAAAAAGTTAGAATGAATCGTATACCTAAAGTCTCAAAAAAATTCAAACAGCAACTGATTGACTTCGGCTTCGTTTGTGACGGCTTTTTTTATTGCTTCTTGAAGTAGCTTTTTAGTATAAAAATTTAGAAGCAGTAAAACAGCCGTCCCAAATGAACCTGCATTGATCTTTAAAGCATAGTTTGCTCTGCCGGAGCTCCCATCAGCTAGCTAGATGACCAGATTCCACAGTCTTCGTTGTGAACTAGACTCGGCCCATCGGAGAAAATGGGGAGTCGAGGAAGAAAGATGGCGGTACAACTCTCTCGTTTCTTTTTCTTTTCTTCTCCTCTGCAACGGCTTCAACGATATCTCCTACTTCATCTTCAAGAAGAAGCTTGAGGGAATTAGAGTACAGTTTATGCTTGTCCTGGTCTTGGCAGATAGATGAAGAAGCTTCGCGGCCATGAAGAATGGCAATGCATATTGAGAATGCCTGCAGTGATGATAATTGAGCATGAAAATCAACTGCATACTGTCCCTTCCCATTAGCCACGATGGTGAGAACAGGAAACTCTTCCTTTTTACCCTGACAAGATAGCAAAAATATAGTTAAGCTCTCTGCAGGCGTAGCAGGAACTCAGGCGCACCACTAATGTTACATATGTAATAGCCTGTCATATTACATGAATCAAAAGAGAATGAATAAAATGGTCCCAATATTTTTTAGGCATTTCATTTTTTTAATATTTTCGGACATTCAATTTGATCCCTCAACTCATTAAATTTGCACCAATTTTGATTCTAACATTAATGTGACATTTCTTTGGATATTTATTGAAGATAGCCTTCATGGAAGAAATTTTATACTTTCAGTCGATATTAAAAGTGAGATTGACTCTAGAAATTCTACAATATCCTCATCCTTCCCTTCACAATTTTCTATACAAAGAATTGATAAAGTTGACATTAGGAAAAAATTAATTCAAATTTGATGAGTCGTGGGATTAAATTAAAAATTTTGAAGTTAAAATAGACAATCTAACAAGAAGAAAGCACTTGAAATTGAAATGACTTGATTGTCCAAAGTTACAATCCACCCACTAGATCTATTACTAAAATAAGAAAATTTTTGGACTCCATGTATTTAGTTTTAGATCTACTTAAACAAAAATTTTTAGACTCTAAGATTAACCTCCATAATTCAAGTTTTCCTTCAACTCCTCTCTAGTCTTATCAACAAGAAAAATATCATAAAAAAAGCATATAATAGGGTACACCCTCTTGCAAATGTCTATTAAGAATATTCATAATTAAAGCAAAAAGATACGGCTTAAAGCTGATCCTTGATGTTATCCAACCAAATAAGAAAATTGATAGGAAATAGCCACCAAAAAAAGAGAAAACTGCTGAATTTCAGAGAAATGTTATAAAATTCAGCAATCACAGTGCTAATTTTACAAAATCTGCAGGAATAATCAAGAAGAAAGCACTTGAAATTCAGTGATGGAAGAAAAGAAACAACCCGATACAACGAATCTTCAATTCGAGAGGAAGATTCAAATCTCCAAATCTCTAGCCAAAGTCTAGAATCCAAAACCAACACCAAGATCTCAAATTTCGGATTTAATTCAAGAATACCCTAATCCTAGCAAGAAAAAAACTAATTAAAGCAAAATGACAAATTATTAATCCCTAAAAAGCCCCTAATTTGAATTTTCCCTCCAATCCAACGCTTCATCAGTGCGTGGGCCCCATCCAATCTGCCACCCCCCTCCTTAGTTCCGCCCAAAATGCACCAAGTGTGGTGAGTCTTCCATATTTCACTTTAAAAGGGGTCATTTAAAAAGCTGAGTGGTATGAGGTATTGTACCATTATTTAATCCATGCTAACCATTTGGCCTACATATGTAAGCAAAACACCTTAAGTCAATCTCCAAGCTTCTATTGACTACCTTCATTTGCCCATCCATCTGAAGGTGGTAGGCGGCGCTTCTCTTAAGAATTGTACCCTAAAACCTGAACAACTTCCTCCAAAACTGGCTCAGAAACATTGTATCTCGATTAGAAACTATTAACTCTAGAATCCCATGCAATCTAACCACCTCCCTGATGAAAGCTATCACCACTGCAACTGTGGTGTAGGGGTGTCGTAAGGGAATGAAATACACGTATTTACTCAGCCTATCAACCACCACCATAATGATTATGAATCTCTCAGATTGTGGTAGGCCATCTAAGAAGTCCTTGGACACCTCCTCCCATACACTATTTGGAAGTGCTAGGGGTTATAGTAACCCCCTTGAAGTTATAGCCATATACTTATTTCTCTGGCATATCTCACACCTCGCCACCATCTCCTCCACAACCCTATGCATACCCTTCCAGTATAATTCAGAATACCCCGGAATGGCCTCCAACCGCACTCCCGTGGAACTCCTGCAATAGCTGGGGAATATGGATATGGGTTCATGCCATCACAAATTTCCCTTGGTACAATAGTCTCTCTCCCTCGAGGGAGTAGCCCGGGTGGCTACTCCTATCCTTCAGCAAGTCCCTCCGGATATTCTTCAGCTCCTCGTCATCTACACTTTCTTTCTTGATAGCCCCCCAATCCACTATTAGGGGAACTAAAATGGACATCTCCTAGAGCTCTCCCCCACACCTGGATAAGGCCTCAGCTGCCTTATTCTTGCATCCTGGAAGATACTGAATCTCAAAATTATACCCCAAGAATTTGTTCCTCGGTCATCATTCTTTGCTCCAGCATATATTTCAAGCTTCTTTGATCTGTCCTGATGATGAAGTGTCGACCTAGCATGTCTAGACACCACTTCTGAATGGCTAACATGATGACCATCAATTCCCTTTCATATAAAGACTTCAGTCTAGATCTAACTATCAACACCTGACTACAGTAGGCTATAGACTTATGATTTTGCATCAACACTTCCCCAACCCATATCCGGATGCATCTGTCTCCACTACAAAGGTCTGACTGAAATTTGGTAAAGCTAAAACTAGTAGTGTGATCATGGTCTTCTTCAGTCTCTCAAAAGCCTGGGTAGTCACTTCTCCCCACAAGAAGTTATCCTTCTTGAGCTGCTCAATCAAAGGTCAGGCTATGTTGTTGTACCCCTTCACTAACCTTCGGTAGTAACCCATCAATCGTAGGAAACCCCTAAACTCTCTCAAGTTCCTAGGTAAAGTTCACTTCTGCATTGCTTCAATTTTAGCTTGATCGGATGCCACACCTTCATGTGATACCATGTGCACTAAGTACTCCACCCTAGTATGTGCAAAGTTGCATTTCATCAGGTTGACCCTTAATTGGTGCTCCTATAGAACTTCAAAGAACACCCTTAAATGTTTCAGATGCTCCCCTTCGGTCTTGTTATACACAAGTATGTCATCGAAGAAAATTAAGACAAACTTCCAGAGGTACGGTCGAAACAGCCTTTTCATCAATGACTGGAAAGTAGCAAGGGCGTTAGTAAGCTCAAACGGCACCACCAAAAACTCGTAGTGCCCTGAAAGTCATCTTCTGAATATCTTCCTCTTTCATCATGATTTGATGGTAGCCTGACTTTAAGTTCAACTTGGAAAACACCACTGCTCCATAAAACTCAATTAGTAGCTCATCAATCACAAAAATAAAAAACTTATCCGGCACAATCTCCTTATTCAAGGCCCTATAATTCACACAAAACATCCAGCTCTCATCCTTCTTCTTGACTAGTAAGACAAAACTAGAGAAAGGACTCACACTCGGTCTGATGAGCCCCGCCTCCAACATCTCATGAATCAGATTCTCTATCTCATCCTTTTGAATATGAGGATAGCGGGATATCCGAACACTGATCGGCACCCTCTCCTTCAAGGTAATTGCGTACTCCTGCTCCCTCTGAGGCCCTTGGGTGGTTGAAACCCCCCCCCCCCCC